ATTTTCGACGTAGGGAAGCCAAAAAAACGTTTCCACCAATATCTGTTCAAATTTTTACCCGGACCGTACAATTTGGTTACTTTTGAATTGTGCATTCTGTTGAGTATTGCCTTTTGAAGTGTGTTTCACCCGAGAATGTTTTTCTTCTTCTGAGAACAACATAGTTTGAGGTATTTGGAGATCTGTTTGGTGGAAATTGAAAATGCCTGGGCTCGGTAAGATGTGTACAGCATCAATGACGACCGAGTTGATTGATTGAAGATGCCACATTCAACAGTGCAACACTATTTGGCAGCACTGCTTCTTTCGTTTGAGGTGTTAACTATCTTAAAGTAGCTCTCTGTCACCCCGTTGCATCATGATGACATGAATAGACTTCACCTTTTTAGACACACAAGCGGACAATGAGATGTCTACCTGGAACCCTGTTTGTTTGTCCGTGTTCAGGCGTTATTGGTTTATTGAGGTGGTAGCTCTGTAAGCTTGGTGGCCACTTATCTGCTGAATGTTGGGATGCTCGTGTGTGGCCGTGTTTTTCTTTATGGATAGAGGGCAGTCGGTCATGCGGTATTCCGCTGCTCTTGCGTTGTCCGTTGTTTGACCACTGCTCGCTGTTGACTTCTTGGAATCGTGGTGGACTTTCGGATTATGGCTAGCCCGTGGGCCTCATCCAGTCAGTGAATGTTAAATCATGGAGGTAGAATTCCATGGTTATTTGGAGACGTGACTGCCAGCCAAACTAACACTTTTTTTCCTGTTGGTGGAATGGCCTTGTAGAAGTAAAAAATGCGACAGAGGGCGCTAGCCATCACAAATGTGCAAATGTCTTATGTGAGAGGCCACGTCTTGGTGTTTATGTAGCACCCCAGTTATTGCAAATTATTATCAAGAATGACTTATTTAAAGCCAAATCTGTTGAAATAGAGCTACCTGTTGAGGAAAGGGACATCCTTGAGGAAATTCTTTAAATCATGGAGCTATAAACAGCGGGAGAGGTGCTTACGGAGCGGGACGAAAACTTCCGCCTGCGTCCCTGGGCATCCCCTGGCCGATGACAGCCTGACCGTCCGGCGATGATGGTTTGACGAGCTGACGGTTGAAATGAAAAGCTCTCGAAATGAATCGAACGGGATGGAGAAAAAAGGTTGTCGACGAAAAGTAATTCCGTCTGGTCGACGACACGTTCATTGCCAAGCCTGAAGGTGTTCGCTGAGTGAACTTAATGCATACATATTTGGTTTTTAGGATGGTTGGGGAGGGGGGGGGGGTAAAAAGGCGAGGCACTCGTAAGATAGGGGTGATGGTCAGTGACTAAATTAGGGTTAAACTTCGATGAGGCACCTGGGGTGCGTATATTTTTCAGGTGGGGGGTGCAATTCAGAATTTTAAACGGGGAGGGAGAGGAAAACGGGGGGGGGGGGGCACGGACATCCGCTTGGGGGCACCCCCGCATAGTTAGGCCACAGGAGACGGTGCACATGATACGCTCTGTTGATGATAGGGATGATATAACAAAGAAAAGAAAGCGCTAACCAGCCTAGAATGACACCTGATGTGTATCGACTAAACATTACTTTTCCGCTCAGCAGTTTATTTCAGTGAAATTTGGCCCGAGATCGCTGACGGGTGATGGCATTTCATTGCCCTGGTTTCCCCCAGGCCGACGATTGCTATAATAACATGTTGCAGTTGACAGTGACTTGTAACACCGGTGGCCCGTAATATTTGAACTGGTCATCGGAGACCAGTTGGATCGTTTGTCCTCCTCATAACAAGTCGCTAGGGATCTCAGGGAGGTGTTTGCCCCACGTTCCCTCGCTCCGTTGTGTCGCTGACCGTGCATAGCCGGCCACTTCTAGCCCGCATAAATCCAGGCCTGCGCACCCAGAGTGTTTCCAACACTCTTTGTTTTTATTGGCGTGACCTGGTCGTTACATGTCAAATTTTGACAGCATTGGAAGGGTTGTTTTGTATCCTTTTGGCGTTACGGGAAGGTCGGTCGGAAATTCTGAAATAATAGCCTCGTAAAAATTCAAGTCGTGAGGAAAGAGAAAGACAAGTATGTCGAATCTCCTCAGGAAATTATTTTTGACCTGGAAGAAGAATTAACCTCGCCATGCATAATCATGGTATGGCCACCGTTTCAACACCTTGCTACAATTAGCATAATGTTGCACTGTACGCGGTTTTAAATCTACACCATTGTTTTGGTATCTACAACAGTATGCAATACGTAGAAAGTTGCACCGCAGTTACATTGTTTACCTGGTCATTATTGAAATTTATCCTTGAAGTCTTCCCCAAGATGCTGAAATTACTGTCTCCTTAGGGTGCATTTGGTCAAACTCACTTGGGCCAGACGAAGATACACATGCCATTGAAACTTCATAGGACTCTCATCCTAAAAATCCTTCCCTTTTTGTTTTTTAATGCAAAGAAAACTGATTTACACCATTCGTTTCCCGTCATTTTAAATAATCTTCCACCTCATCACAACGGTCTTGATGCAATCTAAAACTAATGGTGTGATGATTAAATACATTGTAAGCCTAAGCATTTTATTTTTCCCACCAGGCCTTTCTATCAGAATGCAATGAAATTCTCTCACAATTCCCGAACAGTTAAGACATTTATTTGACAACAATATAAAACTTGTTTTGTCAATTCCTCCGACCGGGCCTCTTGCGAACACCAAGTACCCTAAAGTGTAAAATTTTAAACACACTCTCAATAAAAGTTTATGGGACTTTATAATGTTATCGCGGCGGACATGTCAGATTGCAAGCGACCTCGTCAAAATACCGATGCTGCGCGGAGAGTTAACAACCAGGTCATTACCAGTGTGCCGCGCGTCAGGTCACTCTCTGCCCCAACGATACTGTGAACTGTATATGTTTTTTTCAGGTCATCGATAAATAAGCTATATATGTCAAACCTTGTTGTGAAGCCCCAGTACCTTAATCCAGAAGACTTACAAATTCAAGGTTTTTTCTTTCGCTGGAAAGCAACACTGTTTTCAGGGGCCGACTTCAATGAAACCCTTTGACTAAACGGCCTTGTTAAGTAAGAGTTGTGTGGCAGTGTCTGGAATTTAGAGGGAAATGTGAAAAAAATCGGCTTCTTGTCTTGATAAACAGGCATTCCTCAGAAAGTTTAGTACTGTAACTTACAGGTCTGTAGAAGCGTGTGGTTTAGGGAAATGTCAAACTCCAGCACTCTTACCGCCTTTAGTTACCTCCAAATCAAGCGCTGATACTTGCGAATAGTTCATTATCTGTTTGTCCTTTTCAAAAGCACCGAGTACAAGTTGGCTGCTTGCCAGCACTCTTCAAACTTTTGCGAGCTATTGTGAGGCTCCAAAGGTGAGTTAAGCACCTACACGCGCGCAGACACCTTGGCCGAAACGAGGCGGGGTCAAGGCCCAGCAAGCCGAAAATAATCCTTGGTTTTACCATGGTTTTATAAGCTTTAGCTTTTTCGCCATTAGCGATGTGATTTGAATGTAAACGAATTGAATTGAATGTGACCTGAAATTGATAGTGACGTTATTTTAAGAGCTCTGGGTGTTACCGGTGTCATGTTTTGATAGTTTTAGTAAACGTAAATCACCTTGGCCCTAATTTTGAAATCTCGCGGTATTATCTGCAAATCCCACACATCATTATCTGCAATAACTAAAAAAAAAAATCGCTAAGGGCCGATCATGGAAAACAAATAGCTTAGATCAAAAAAGATTAACTGGACATCATCCAATTTGACAGTGCAGCGGCAGACCCAACACCAGATGAAGCTCAAATTCCAGTTTGTAATAGACCAGCGCGAATGTGAAGATACTTTGAGGCGGAGTTTCTTTCAAACCCAGTGCCACGCCCCAAGGAGTTGTTGACTACATCCCAACCTCCATAATTTGCTTCTTTGCAAAGACCAGACGGTTGTGGTTGACCCTGTGGGATGCATTACAAAACTTTCCTGCGTCGCATAGAGGGCGGCCGGGGGTCATGCTGCAGGTGCGACAGACATGAACGGGGTCCTTTGAGTCATAGTCGGGGTTACAGGTACAACTTTGATGTTGATTTGTCTCAGCATCTCAAGGTCCCTTTTCAGCACTTATTTTATGAGGTTCTAGGGGGAGATTGCCTTTCTAGTTCACCGCGAAATGTGTCACAAGATGTATTGCAGACGTGTTGCACTTTGTTTTATTGCTTTAGGAAACGTTTCGTTCTTCTCACAGTTTCTTTAAATCGATCAGGAAACCTGACAGCAAATCATTTGTACATTCTCCTGAGTATAATTACATGCAATAAAGTGCCTATGGGTCTACTCACATTTTCTGAACACAAGTTTTTTTTTTATAGGGAAGTTATCCCAGGCCTACCTTGAATCAAATGCACCCGGTAGTTTATAAACATTACAAAGATGTGGATATTCTTAGTGGCCTACTCATAAATTAAGGCCTTATCGTGGTGCAAAATGAAATTACTCAGAATGCTGTCTTCTGTCATAATCAGGGGCGTAAATCGGGGGGGGGGGAGGGGGGAAGGAGGACATATCCCTCCTCTTTGGGGATTCGTTCTGTCAGTACATGGCTGAGGAAGCCAATGAGTAAACTTCTCCCACCAATGTTTTCAATGAGCAGATTTGTTGGTTCACATTTTTAACAGAAACCTCTCAAACTGAGCAGTGTCTTCCTGAAATGATTTAACAGCATCAGCGCCCTCAGTTGTCCGGAAAAGCATGGACATTTTTCACTGTTGAAAGAAGTGCACTTTTGAATAAAATATAACCAAAATGAATGTCAAATAGTTGTCATACATGTAAAGGAAGTATAAAGTTGAACAAAATATGTTCCTAAAAAAGTTCATTTCATGGACACTTTAATGCTGACGTGTTTGCTAGCAGGGTTGCGTAAACAAAACTTCTTTTTTTTTTTTATTTGAACACTCTTTTTTTCCAAATCTTTAACATGGAATCTGCTTTGTATTTTTGTTATTTATTCACAGGGACCTCAAGATGGAGAACATTATGCTGGATGAGAAGAGGAAAAACTTGAAGATTGTTGGTGTGTAAAATGTGGAAGAAACCTTTGCCTTTTTATTTTCTTATCAAAATCATGGGTTGTTAAAATTCATGGTCAAAGAATTAACCCAACCTGAACTTCTTTTTGCTTCTAGATTTTGGCTTGAGCAATATATTTTCTCCTGACTGTTTACTGAAGACCCACTGTGGATCACCGGAGTATGCCGCTCCAGAGCTTTTCATCACTGACCAGGAGTACGGTCCAGAGGTGGACATATGGAGTCTGTAAGTGTCGTTTGCTGTTATCTTATTCCAACTTTGGAGCTTCATTTGTGTGGTAGTTTTTTTCTGCTTTTTGACAATACTGGGATGTATAATATGTTCGTTATAAGGCACCATGAAATAAATTAATTCATTGTTTGTCCAAGACTTCATTATTTTCTAACTTATCTCAGACATCAGAAAAAGTCACATTGCACAATCCTTGACCATGAAACAATTCAAGTTGTTGAAATAATAAGTTTGAAGTTGTAAAGGGATTTTCCTTGCAATGGTTTGAAAAAAAAGTGACAACATTTGTTTAAAAGAAAAGCACAAATGTAACGTCCTGCAAGGGCCACCATAACAGTTGCTTTGTTTTTTTTGTATCTATCTTTGCAGAGGCATCAATATGTTTGCCATGGTAACAGGGAGGCTGCCTTTCTCCACACCTTACTCAGAGAACAGGCGACAGCGACTGATGCAGCAAATCCAGAACGGACTGGGTGTCATCCATGGCAGGGAGATGGCTCATCTATCTGACGGTACATTTCTATTTGAAATCAAATCATAGAATTGTTGCATCTCATTGTCAAGACACGGTTTTGGTGTGAAGGGAAGGGCAACAACTGGAAAACTTCTTGTGACGGATCTTCGGGGTGGGGGGGGGGGTAGGTGGGGGATGGGGGAAAGGAGGGGGGGGGGGGTTTAAACCCCTTCTTGGGCCGCAAAAAATGGGAAAATTGTACAGAAATACACATCAAATGCTGGCTAAACCCTCTCTTGGCAGCCTCACCCGGCTCTTGATGTAAACTTAGATCCGTCCGTGGCTCTGTTCAATGAAAATCTGTGGTCCCAAAAGGTTAACGATTGATTTTATGAAGGGTAAACCTTCTAAATTCACAAGAAGGTGGAGGAATTGGAAGGAAATCTGCTCATCAGACACTATAACCTTACATAAAACGCTTGATCCTCCTTAAAATGTCAACCTTAAGGAAAGGATTTACTGTGGTCAGAACGTCGTCGTTTTTGGATTTCAGAATGCCAGGAGTTGTTGAGTCAGCTGATTGAGCCGAGTCCAGAGCTACGGCTTCCCTTATTGGACATTGAGGTTCATCCATGGATAACCAGTCTGGGAGAGACACCCTTCTGCCCCTACCAGCAACCACCAAAAGATGCTGATGTCAAAAGATTGGTATGACAAGAAACAGTTGTGATTTGGCATCTTGCTTTTCTTTTCCTTTGAAAGAAGAAAGGTTTTGTTTTGTAAAATTGTTTGGATGTAATGCTTTAGACTTTCATCCATTTTTACAAGGGGAAACTGATGGGGCTGATGTCCTAATTTTGTAAGTCACCAGCAAAATGCACACTGAGTGATAAGCACCAATGTAAACAATTTTGTTTTGCAAATATGAATCAAAGCATCAAGACGTTTGCATTTTAGACACCAAGTCTTTCCATTCTACCTTACTTCAACTGACATTTTCAGTTAGTGCATGACTAATGTTCTAAATGCAACAATTGGTGACTTTTTACCCTGCCAAAGATCATCGACAAGATGGCGTACCTGCTGAATGTCAGCGCAGCCAAGATAGAGACCAACGTGCACGAGTACCGGCTAGATGAAGTCAGTGCCATCTATAACCTCATGATGGACCAGTATCGACTGAGCAAAGGATTCTGGGATGTGGACCACACACTCAAGAGGGAGGTGAAACGCCCCAAGCCTGTCGAAGTGGTGGTGAGACCTAAGACACCACCTCAAGAAATGCCAGAACCGGAGGAACAAGGTAAAATGTAAAGCCGATCTAATCTTTATTAAATTGTTTCATATTTGAGTGCTGTGACTTGCATATTATACAGAATCCAGCATTGGATGTTTTCATTACTCAGGTATTGATCATATAGAAAATCTGCGAATTCCGTGAAACACATCAAAACAAACATTTGATATAAATTTAATCAAATTACCAACTCGCAATTAGTTGGACATAAAAACGTATTCTGTCTTGTTCTGCAATAGAATGCTCATGAAGATTTCTTCCTCTTTCTTTTCAGAGGAGCGTATGGAATTGAGAACTCCCACTGTCATCGGAATGGTTCAGCCGAGTAAACGAAACCAAGACAGGTAATTGTATGAAGATGTGAAGATATTTTGTAATAATGGTTGGGAGGGAGGGATACACAAATGGGTTATCATAATTCTTATTCATAAAGACAATTAATGTACCCGAGACTGTTTACCGATTGGTCGAGAGCCCATCGCGTGGGTGGTTTTAAACGGTTGATAAAAACACCGGCTGGCTTGTTTAAAGCGCTTTTCCAGTGTCACATGAATTTGGGACTGCTATGAAATCTGGTCCTTTTTACCCCTTTATTGGTTGAACATCCACAATCTTCACTTAGGCATGTGCAATACTACCAATGACTCCGTATTTCATAGAGTCCTAAATTCACACTACACCGGTACCGCTGCGTTCTGCGCCACATCGTGCACTAAAATGTCCATATAAGGAGATTTTTAGTACTACTCGCGAGAGGCACATACCATAAACATAACTAGAGGGGTGTTTCACAAAACATGAAGTAAAACTGTTGAACAAAATCTTTGGAAATTGACTTGTTTAGACTTTTAGTGGAAGGTATTTATGAATGGGAATAAATACGTGCTTGACCTGTATTAAACAAGTACGTTTAAAACCGTATGTTAAAAATCGCTGATAATTATTTGCCTCACCTTCGGCTCGGGCCATTATCAGTGTCCAGGCCCCTGGCCAGTTTTAAACATAATTGTTAAAAACCGGGGAAACACATATTTATTCACTTAATAAAAATACATTGGTGTAAGGTACAATCACTTTAGGATGGGACTCAGAGAACAAACATTCATCCCTAGAGGAGTGGGAATAACAAGTAACAGGTGAGAATAACCAGTATTAAAATCTTAAAGAAACTTGAATGTTTTTTTTTCTTCACAGGAGGACGTGTCTGTCGGCAGATTTTGAGCTGTCTGCAGTTTCATGTGAGGGGCGACCAAGACGGAAGTATGTTTAGTCTGATAGGCGTAAATTCCTCATTGAATTGACAAAAACTAGATTAGGAGACAGTTTACAGATTTGAATTTTGTTTAAAAACCGAATTGAATAAAGCTGGATTGGAACTTTGGACCTTCTGAACAGCGGCATAGCCAGCATTCTCACCAAAGTGAGGGGGGGGGGGGTTGATGGAAGCCATCTTTCTACATGGCACCCGCAAAGTGGACACTATTGGACAATAGGTGGTGCTACGGTGGCACAATTACAGACGTTTGCGCGACGTAAAAAAGTCACTTGTAAAGAAAAGGCATTTTGTGAAAAAGGACTATCACATTTCCAGTGGGGGGGGGGGGGGGGGTTTGTATGGGGGGCATGCCCCCACCCCACTCTCTTAAATGTAACATAAAATATTGAGGCATTGTCTATTCCTTCACCTTTTCTGTCTGTCGTCATTTAACACCTTTTTTTAATTCTGTTTTACAGCCGAGCAAAGACGGCAACCTTTCCCCAAACTGGGACCAAGGTAGGAAATATATTGGGCAAATGTTTTCTAGCTTCCTGTCCATCTTCCTGACATTCAGATTTACTCATGGAAATGCTACACAAAGTCAAGGATACAGGGAAAAAAGAAATCATCGTGGAATTTGCCAATAATGAAATAATATTACCCACATCACAAGCCTTTGAAAGCTGGTAACATTTGCTCCATAAAATGTATTAAATTTTTGTAGACACGTCCTATTGGAAATGCTACAACAGCAAACAGCGTGTTGGCCAGGTACAACAACTTTGGACCACCGTCCTCAGCCCAGCAACCAAAAGTCTGCACCTGCCCATCTGCATCACCTGCAAACAATACAAATCATCATAATCAGCCAAAGAAATCAGAGAACGGGCAATACGATGGCCTCCATCAGCCAATAGGAGGGTCTGTTTCAAATGATAAAGATAATCAATCCGACATAGCCAATGAGCACCAAGCACACTCAGGAGATGGACCAATCGGAGAGAGTGTTACATCAAGGGAATGCACCAAACCCCCTATCAGAAAGAGAGAAGCTGGAGAAATTGATGATCAAATCTCTCAAATCAAAACCAATGCAGAGACTGCTCATGACATGAAGGTCATTGACATGGTGAAATGTTTCAACTTCAAACACGGCTACATTATAAAGGAGACGGCGCTATCAAATAGCAACTCGAGGAATGATCAATACACCCCACAGAATGACTCAGAAGGCAACAAACCGTCAGTGAAGCTGTGTAGTGCGCATAGAGAGCAAATGCTTTCTGGAACCTTGCCCAAACAAGATGTTCACTCCTGTCAGAGCAGTCGGGCCAACAGCCCTGCTAAGACTGCTGCTCAGAGGAATGAGTTACTAAGGCAACAGATGCAGCTGCCTACTCGGCCAGTGAATGCCCACTTTCGCCCCCACCAGGCAAACCCAAGCCTACAGGAGACTCTGTTGTTAACCAAGAGAGCGTGGCACTCCCGTAACCCACAACAGATTGTCAGATCTGGACGAAGAACGACAGACAACTCTGGGCAGGGACTTGTCACTCGTTCGAGTCCTGCAACAAACGGACATCAGTGCATCTACTCTGCATCCAGATCAGGGAGTGAATCTCCTAGAGCGAGGCTGCGTACCCCTATTGCCACTCTCCATTCGATGGAGAAAGGCACTCAATTCTCCACCACTGCCCAGGAATGGCAGGGAGATAACATTAAGTCAGGAAAAACAAAGGAAGGTGCCAGGAGGAATGCCATGCCGCAACGACTGGATTGGAAACGATCCAGTGCAGGGAAGCCCAGAGGGTGGACTGAGGATGGAGAAGCAATGATAAGGGAAGGTGCTGAGCATGGTGGAGGTATCAACACTATGAAGAAGTTACAGGAGATGATGAGCAGGGATAGCGTCCATCAGACTGTCCCAAGTGGAAATATCAGGTATGAACAGACAATAATCTTTATCTTGTACAGCTAAGCGTTTTGTGAATTACCATTTTTTTGGCCATCACATGTTGTTGAGTAGATGACCAATCTGGCCACTGTATCGCCAGTAGCAGATTTGGTGGGGGGGGGGGGGGTGGGGTTGCCCCTTCCCCCTCCCTGTTCAGCCGCTAACTAATGTTATGATACTAGTAGAATGGGGCAAAAAAAAATAATGGAATGCTAAAGTTCCTACATTTTCGAATTGCCATAGAAGGCAGGAGAAAGCATTTTGGTTTCCAAAATTTTTCTGGGAGGGGCATGCTACCAGACCTTAGACATGCCTTAGACTCGGGGCCTTTGACTAGCAGGGCATGCCTTAAACTCAACAACCCCCTTTATATCAAACACCCCCCCCCCCCATTTCTTAAAAGCTTCACATTTGCCTCTGATTACTGTACACTCAAGATGGTTAGTTTGCTGAACAGCTGACACATTGCTTCAACGATTACTGGGGGCCACTGTGTAAGTACAGTTATGTCTCTAGAAATAATAAGTGGGACTGGTCGAAAAAAACTTGCTGTCTTGTTTTCTCTCTCAGAGTGAAGTCGGCTAAGATTGGGACGCCGAGATCCATTGAGAGGTGCCAGAGTCCGCAGAGAAAAAGCACCAGATCAGGAGCCGGTAGCAGGAGGGTGCCGTCATCAGACAAACATAAATCCTGTACTCCGCAAGCATACAAAGGCCCCTACATTATGGACAGACACAAAGGTAGGTCTTTTAGGTTTTGGAATCTTAGTAGCTCATCTGGCTTTGTGATCACACCCTCCATCTTAGGCTTGTCTGGATCCTTCCTTCCCACGTACTACAGAGTGTTTGGCCAAATTTTACAGAGAGTATATTTTGAGAGGATGTACATACCATGTAGAAATACTCAGTAAACCCTGTTACAGGCAGTAAACGTTAAATGACATTTTTGACAAACTGTGCGTTTAATCATCAGCTCCTTGATGTTGGCAGCTAGTCTCTTTGCTTTCACTATAGCATTACCATGCCTGCAGTAAAGTAGAAGGTAATGAGTTTGAGTCCAACAAACTGGTATTTAACAGGTACGTTTAAAAACAGCTAGAGGCGTGGTCAAGGGCCATCTGTGTCCAGGCTCCTAGCCAGTTTAAACGTACTTGTTTAAAACCAGCCAAGCACATATTTATTCCCTTGCTATTACTCCGTTCTCCTTTTACATAACAGGACAACACCAGAGAAGCCACACACATCCTACCAGCAAGCATGACGGAGTGATTGACTTGAATCAGCAACATATGGTCAGCCTGCTGCAAGAGGCCTCCGTCAAGTTTGAGGATTCACTCAAGGCAGAGAGCAGGAAGGTAACAATGGTAGAGCATGGAGGTACAGAGTGTTTGCAGGGGGCTTGGACTCACGATTGTAACATGGTTTTTCACCGCAATGTTAGCTACATTGAAAAGCAAGCCTGGATCTGCATGGGGTTTTATTTAACAAACTATAGGAAGGGTGTGTTAGCAATAGAGTTGGGTCTTTCTTGTTGTCATGCATTCAATTGAACAGTGTCGGAAGAATTCAAAATATAGTGAATCCGTTCAGCCTGATAAACCCAACTGCATGTACACGCAGTATAATTTGCTAAGAATGGACCTACAGACTTTGCCCACCTATACCCTTACATTGTCTTACATGGCTTTTAATCACTTGTTTCTCGGCATCAGAGCCAAGCTGTCAGATCAGGGGATCAGAGCAACTGGCGCAGGGGTAACAAACCAAACCAGACTCCAAGGCAAACCCAGAAGCAGCAGCAACAGCAGCAGCAGCAGCAGCAGCAGCAGCAGTATGTTGACGAAGGTGACCTGGATGAAGGCACAGTGGCTCTGCAACTTGGACAGAGAGTGCAGTTAGTGAGGGGTGAGGAACAAAAGTCATTTTTGATCATTTGGCTGTATTAAGCACACTTGTGAGAAAGTCGCTGTTGTAAAAATAACTTGACAGCGGTACACAGTGTTTAAGTGATTATCGTACATGTAATTTGTTGACTATTCATCTTCACAATCCAGGTTCCCTGGCCATCAACTCCAAGCCACCTCCAATCCTGTCCAACAACATGGCCCCGGAACATGTATTCAATGTGCAGGCCAGTAGGGATGTGCAAGTTGTCCAGAAGAGGTCAACCAAAAATAAGCGGCATCCATCTAGGATTGTTGATAAAAAGATCAACAAGGTTTGTGAATTCTGTGCAAAATGAAACAACTGCTTGCTTTTTACTGCACATTATGAGGAGCTAAACCCTCCAAACATTTCAACCACGCTTTTGCCAGTAGCGTAACCAAGGTTTGTTTTGCCCTTTCTAAATAGAATTTTGTCTTGCTTATAAACTCACACACCATCCGTTAAAGCACCATCTTCTAGGGGGCAAACTTAAAAGCGGACAATCATGTAAATTATCGGGCAATAGTTCATCATCCCTGCAAATTATAGCCAACCATTTTTCGACAGGCCAATTTTGATTCTATCAGCGTCTCGATTGCGCTTGAAAAATCTTTAACCCTTTGCAATTTGCCACTGTGCTCCCCCCCCCCAATTACACGACTGACTTGTGCACATATGTGAACTCGAAGGTCACAGCCTTTTACTTCAACTGTTAACCGTACTTAATGTTTTGCTATTTTTTTTTTTTTTTCAGGAGTGGGATGCAGGTTACCGACTTGAGCGTAAAGTCAGCGATACTATCAAGCGAGTTGGATCAGCTGTTGGCAAGACCCCAGATCTGTTGCTGAATTGTACCTAGGACTGAGGCTCATACCATCAACCTATTGGTTTCCAAGCTTGCTTTATTCTGTATTCCAAAGCTACAAACTCCAAAACTTTCTGTATTAGGTTGAAGGAAGAAAAAGTGTAGCTGGACCTCAACCCCCATATTGCTTCAGACATGTTATACCAGCCTTGTTGATTTGTTTTCAAACTTTTGATAAAAGGAAGAACTGAAGCTGGATTCTGACCTGCAACATCTGGAATGCTGTAATGTTGCTCTACCAACTGAGCGTTCATCCAGCTTGCTAACATTGCAAGCATTATGACCTTATGACCTTGGGCGAGTGTTGTAGTCAAGTCCAGCACAAGTCTCTACAAGTCCATCACAAGTCCTTCTGTCTCGAGTCAAGTCACTAGCTATTCAAATGAACTGTTACAAAAGTATTCTTTTGTCATTGTTCATCCCATAATTTGTCACGGTACTTATGAAAGGACTCTACTACTGCCTTGGACATGATCCCAGTGCACATGACATGTAGTCGTTTCATGGCATCAAAGTGAAGACATTGAAATATTGTGGGATTGGCAATATTTGAGTGATAGAGTACTGAAGTCTGAGTCAGCCGTCATTGTTCTGGTTCACTCGCTGGTTCATTCACACACTTCAGCTATGCGGGTGAACCAGAATACATGGCACACTCTATTCGGACTTCTGAGTATCACACAAAGATTAAATAAAGTAAAAGAGCTTTAACGTAAAAAAATGACAATTAAGGTGAATTATACAGACAGTAGTTAGCGAGTGCAGCCAAATGTATGGACAATTATGTCATTGTATTTAATTTATCATGAGGAATGGAAAGAGCAAAATAAAAAACACTAGTAACAGAATTTAAAAGCATCTGTTCTTTTTCAGACATTTGTGTTGGAACTTTAATAGTGTAAATGTTAAATGTTTATTAACACTATGCAAAATTGAAAATATCACAATAGTAAGGGGTTAACCTTGCATTTTTATTCAATTCTGCAAGGCTAACCCCTTACTAATCTGAATTTTGAGAAAAGATCAAATTTTGCAGAATTTCGAAAAAAAAGCAAGGCTAACCCCTTACTAATCTGAATTTTTGAGAAAAATCCATTTTTGCATGATTTCAATGAAAATGCAAGGTTAACCCCTTGTTTATCTGAATTTTGAGAAAAGATCAAATTTTGCAGAATTTCAATAAAAATGCAAGGCTAACCTCTTACTTATCTGAATTTTGAGAAAAGATCAAATTTTGCAGAATTTCAATCAAATTGCAAGGCTAACCCCTTGTTTATCTGATTTTTGAGAAAAATCCAATTTTTGCAGAATTTCAATGAAAATGCAAGTCTAACCCCTTGTTTATCTGAATTTTGTGAAAAGATCAAATTTTGCAGAATTTCGGTAAAATGCAAGGCTAACCCCTTACTAATCTGAATTTTTGAGAAAAATCAAATTTTTGCATGATTTCAATAAAAATGCAAGGCTAACCCCTTACTAATCTGAATTTTTGAGAAAAATCAAATTTTTGCATGATTTCAATGAAAATGCAAGGCTAACCCCTTGTTTATCTGAATTTTGAGAAAAGATTAAATTTTTGCAGAATTTCAACCAAATTGCAAGGCTAACCCCTTGTTTGTCAGATTTTTGAGGAATATCCAATTTTTGCAGAATTTCAATAAAAATGCAAGGCTAACCCCTTGTTTATCTGTATTTTTGTGAAAGATCCAATTTTTGCAGAATTTCAATGAAAATGCAAGGCTAACCCCTTACTAATCTGAATTTAAAGAAACGATCAAATTTTGCAGAATTTCAATAAAAATGCAAGGTTAACCCCTTGTTTATCTGAATTTTGAGAAAGATTAAATTTTGCAGAATTTCAATAAAAATGCAAGGCTAACCTCTTATCTGAATTTTGAGAAAAGATCAAATTTTGCAGAATTTCAATCTAATTGCAAGGCTAACCCCTTGTTTTTCTGAATTTGGAGAAAAATACAATTTTTGCATTATTTCAATAAAAATGCAAGGCTAACCCCTTACTAATCTGAATTATGAGAAAAGATTAAATTTTGCAGAATTTTAATAAAATTGCAAGGCTAACCCCTTACTAATCTGAATTTTTATAAAAAAGATCAAATTTTGCAGAATTTCAATAAAAATGCAAGGCTAACCCCTTACTAATCTGAATTTTGAGAAAAGATCAAATTTTTGCAGAATTTCAATCAAATTGCAAGGCTAACCCCTTGTTTGTCAGATTTTTGAGGAATATCCAATTTTTGCAGAATTTCAATAAAAATGCAAGGCTAACCCCTTACTAATCTGAATTTTGAGAAAAGATCAAATTTTTGCAGAATTTCAATCAAATTGCAAGGCTAACCCCTTGGTTGTCAGATTTTTGAGGACTATCCAATTTTTGCAGAATTTCAATAAAAATGCAAGGCTAACCCCTTGTTTATCTGTATTTTTGTGAAAGATCCAATTTTTGCATAATTTCAATGAAAATGCAAGGCTAACCCCTTACTAATCTGAATTTAAAGAAAAGATCAAATTTTTGCAGAATTTCAATAAAAATGCAAGGCTAACCCCTTACTAATCTGAATTTTGATAAAAAAGATCAAATTTTGCAGAATTTCAATAAAAATGCAAGGCTAACCCCTTACTAATCTGAATTTTGAGAAAAGATCAAATTTTGCAGAATTTCAATCAAATTGCAAGGCTAACCCCTTCTTTATCTGATTTTTGAGAAAAATCAAATTTTTGCATAATTTCAAAAAAAATGCAAGGCTAACCCCTTACTAATCTGAATTTTTGAGAAAAATCAAATTTTTGCATGATTTCAATGAAAATGCAAGGCTAACCCCTTACTAATCTGAATTTTGAGAAAAGATTAAATTTTTGCAGAATTTCAACCAAATTGCAAGGCTAACCCCTTGTTTGTCAGATTTTTGAGGAATATCCAATTTTTGCAGAATTTCAATAAAAATGCAAGGCTAACCCCTTGTTTATCTGTATTTTTGTGAAAGATCCAATTTTTTGCAGAATTTCAATGAAAATGCAAGGCTAACCCCTTACTAATCTGAATTTAAAGAAACGATCAAATTTTGCAGAATTTCAATAAAAATGCAAGGTTAACCCCTTGTTTATCTGAATTTTGAGAAAGATTAAATTTTGCAGAATTTCAATAAAAATGCAAGGCTAACCTCTTATCTGAATTTTGAGAAAAGATCAAATTTTGCAGAATTTCAATCTAATTGCAAGGCTAACCCCTTGTTTTTCTGTATTTGGAGAAAAATACAATTTTTGCATTATTTCAATAAAAATGCAAGGCTAACCCCTTACTAATCTGAATTATGAGAAAAGATTAAATTTTGCAGAATTTTAATAAAATTGCAAGGCTAACCCCTTACTAATCTGAATTTTGAGAAAAAAGATCAAATTTTGCAGAATTTCAATAAAAATGCAAGGCTAACCCCTTACTAATCTGAATTTTGAGAAAAGATCAAATTTTTGCAGAATTTCAATCAAATTGCAAGGCTAACCCCTTGTTTGTCAGATTTTTGAGGAATATCCAATTTTTGCAGAATTTCAATAAAAATGCAAGGCTAACCCCTTACTAATCTGAATTTTGAGAAAAGATCAAATTTTTGCAGAATTTCAATCAAATTGCAAGGCTAACCCCTTGTTTGTCAGATTTTTGAGGAATATCCAATTTTTGCAGAATTTCAATAAATATGCAAGGCTAACCCCTTGTTTATCTGTATTTTTGTGAAAGATCCAATTTTTGCATAATTTCAATGAAAATGCAAGGCTAACCCCTTACTAATCTGAATTTAAAGAAAAGATCAAATTTTTGCAGAATTTCAATAAAAATGCAAGGCTAACCCCTTACTAATATGAATTTTGATAAAAAAGATCAAATTTTTCAGAATTTCAATAAAAATGCAAGGCTAACCCCTTACTAATCTGAATTTTGAGAAAAGATCAAATTTTGCAGAATTTCAATCAAATTGCAAGGCTAACCCCTTCTTTATCTGATTTTTGAGAAAAATCCAATTTTTGCATAATTTCAATAAAAATGCAAGGCTAACCCCTTGTTTATCTGTATTTTTGTGAAAGATCCAATTTTTGCATAATTTCAATGAAAATGCAAGGCTAACCCCTTACTTATCTGAATTTTGTGAAAAGATCAAATTTTGCAGAATTTCAATAAAAGTGCAAGGCTAACCCCTTACTAATCTGAATTTTTGAGAAAAATCAAATTTTGCATGATTTCAATAAAAATGCAAGGCTAACCCCTTACTAATCTTAATTTTTGAGAAAAATCAAATTTTTGCGTGATTTCAATGAAAATGCAAGGCTAACCCCTTACTAATCTGAAATTTGAGAAAAGATTAAATTTTTGCAGAATTTCAATCAAATTGCAAGGCTAACCCCTTGTTTGTCAGATTTTTGAGGAATATCCAATTTTTGCAGAATTTCAATTAAAATGCAAGGCTAACCCCTTGTTTATCTGTATTTTTGTGAAAGATCCAATTTTTGCATAATTTCAATGAAAATGAAAGGCTAACCCCTTACTAACCTGAATAAAAAAAAAAAGATCAAATTTTGCAGAATTTCAATAAAAATGCAAGGCTAACCCCTTACTAATCTGAATTTTTGTGAAAAATCTAATTTTGCAGAATTTCAATGAAAATGCAAGGCTAACCCCTTATAAATCTGAATTTTGAAAAAAGATCAAATTTTGCAGAATTTCAATGAAAATGCAAGGCTAACCCCTTACTAATCTGAATTTTGAGAAAAGATTACATTTTGCAGAATTTCAATAAAAATGCAAGGCTAACCCCTTGTTTATCTCAATTTTTGTGAAAGATCCAATTTTTGCATAATTTCAATGAAAATGCAAGGCTAACCCCTTACTAGTTTGAATTTTGAGAAAAGATCAAATTTTGCAGAATTTCATAAAAATGCAAGGCTTACCCCTTACAATTCTGAATTTTTGAGAAAAATCAATTTTTTGCATAATTTCAATAAAAATGCAAGGCTAACCCCTTACTAATCTGAATTTTTGGAAAAAATCAAATGTTTGCATCATTTCAATAAAATGGCAAGGCTAACCCCTAACAAATCTGAATTTTGAGTAAAGATCAATTTTTTGCAGAATTTCAATAAAAATGCAAGGCTAACCCCTTGTTTATCTGAACTTTGAGAAAAGATCAAATTTTGCAGAATTTCATAAAAATGCAAGGCTTACCCCTTACGAATCTGAATTTTTGAGAAAAATCAAATTTTTGCATAATTTCAATAAAAATGCAAGGCTAACCCCTTACTAATCTGAATTTTTGGAAAAAATCCAATGTTTGCATCATTTCAATAAAATGGCAAGGCTAACCCCTAACAAATCTGAATTTTGAGTAAAGATCAATTTTTTGCAGAATTTCAATAAAAATGCAAGGCTAACCCCTTGTTTATCTGAACTTTGAGAAAAGATCAAATTTTGCAGAATTTGAATAAAAATACAAGGCTAACCCCTTACTAATCTGAATTTTGGGAAAAATATCAAATTTTCCAGAATTTCAATAAAAATGCAAGGCTAACCCCTTACTAATATGAATTTTTCAGAAAGATAACATTTTGCAGAATTTCAATAAAAATGCAAGGTTAACACCTCGCTAATCTGAATTTTTGGGAAAAGTTTACAATTTGATCTTTCTCAAAAATTCATATTAGCAAGGGGTTAACCTGGCATTTTTATTGAAATTCTGCAAAATTTATCTTTCCTCAAAATTCAGATTAGTAAGGAGTTAGCCTTGCATTTGTATTGAAATTCTGCAAAAATTTGATCTTTCTCAACAATTCAAAATTGTTAAGGGATTAACCTTGCATTTTTATTGAAATTCTGCATTTGTTGTATACTTTCCTCAAATGTCTTTTTATTATTGCTTTCAAAGGCTAGGTTTGCAGATTGATATGGAAATCAATCCACAAAATAAACCCCTTAAGGGCAAAACAAGAAAAGTGCGAAGACAATGGCTCTCTTCAGTGTACCTTGGTCTTAATGCCGCTCTGCTATAGTTAAACAAACGAAAAAGAGCAAAACTATTACAGGAATGTTAACATCTGATAGATCATTTTTTCAAGTAGATTACCTAAAAACAATCACTCGACATGGCATGGTTGGGACACATTTTCAAATATGTCGATTTGTAATAGACATTGTTTGAAATTATACAATTCTCATGGAGAATATACTACACAGTTTATCTAACAGATACAGAATTGATTGCTACATAATCAATGTCAATATACTACAGTGAAAGAAAAACATCATTTTAAAACATAATTGAGTTGTTCAACAGGTAAAGAAGATAGGTCTGTAAACTTGCAAAAAAAAATTCCTAGTTAAAATCAACAGGTTCAATTTCCTAGAAACCATTGCAGATGAGTCGATGTATAAATAACATAATCATTTCAGCATTTCAGTTCTAAAGGTCCTTTTTGGACAATTTGGTTAAAAGGTTCCTGTTTTTAAAAAAAATGCTTTAAATAACAAACCAAGAGAAAAGAATTGAAAGATCTAATCATGGAAGTTGTTTTAATCTGAAATAATTGACATTTTCAAGCCCAAAATCTGCCCTTAGAGTCTGTCTGCCAGAATTTATAGGACTGCTGTAAGGACCATTTAGAACTGAACCGAAGATTTGTACAAATTCATTAGGAATTTCATAGTAATACAAAAGGAATTATAACTCGGCAAAACCAAAAAGGTTAAAAGTCCAATAAACTTCAATATTTTTATATAATATACTGCACTTCATATGATGGATCGTAATATTGCACAGTTTTACAGCTAAGACGAACATTTCTTTAACAGTTGCTTCTTTACACAAGGGCATATTAAAGAGACGGACACTACTTAAAAAATAACAAAAAGATGTGCAAGCAAAATGAGATCAACAAATCTCAGATAAAATTCACTTAGTTCGTGACTAGACAAGTAAAAAACAACAGCTTCTACCCAATGAAAATCGACACACAAAAACAACCCTGTCACGTAAAGCTTTAGTTGTCAATTAAAAGGTTAAACCGGATTTGTTGGCATTGCAGTACATAGAACAAAGTGAATGGAGCTGATTTGCCATCACAATTCAAATACTTCTTGTTTGAGAGGAGCACACCAACAATTTGTCCAGTTTTCAATAGCCAATAATATTCAGTACTTTGAAATTCACATACAACCAGCAATTGTGATTGTATTGAAAATGCCCTGAGGATCAAATGATGTATCAAATGGCCAACAAAATATTTTGGCATACTGGCACCAAGTGAAATAAAAATTGTGCATACCATTATATTGCTTGCTACCTACACTTGAATCTTCGACTGGTCACCTGTTACTGCTGCAGCGCCCTCTGTTGGTGACTCCTCAACTTCCTCCCTGGTTCCCAAGAAAAGCAGTGGGAACATTCCTAAAAGGCATCCAATCGTAAGACCTAGAGCCCGACCCTACACAGAAACACAAAAAAATAAAAACAAGTGTAACCTCCATATACAGTCGGTTCCTATCACAAGTCAATCACAAGTCCAGTCACTAGTCCAGTCACAAGTAACAGTGGATGAACAATAACAAAGGAATGCCTTTGTCAAAGCTCATTTGAATAGCTTGTGAGTTGAATTGGGACTGGAGGACTCGTGATGGACTTGCAGGGAGTCTAAAGAGAACTAGCAAATATCAGCTCAGGAGTAACATTAGACCTCGATCATTGATTTGTGATCTTCATCTAGGATCGGCTACATCCCTGATAGCTTTTATGTACATTACAGAGATGTGGAAGAACTAAGAGCATTTTTTTCTATCTGCATTAATGATGCTGTTTCAGAAGCCTCCCTTCTCATATTCAGTTTAGGATACATTTGGGTAAAAAAACTCTGCAGATAAATTTCGAGGTGACTGTCTCTCAAAAAAGAAATGGCTAGAATACCTTTAATACAGGCAGCCACTTTACATGTAATTTTTTGCAGGCGTATCTGCAAAAAATTAAAATTGTCTTGTCCTTCCACCTTGCATGCCTCATTGACACTGTGTGTGAAGGGGTCGGGTAGGAGGGGGTTATTTCAACTTACAATGCCAGCAATCCACCGTGTTTTCCTCATATCCGCCTGCTCTGGAGTCAATTCCTTGGGATGGACTCCCACTCTGGATGCCAGAGACTCTACGTAGCCAGCTAACCTGCAGGAGACAGAATGAACGGCGGGGCATCAATAAAGAGTCTATTTCCAAAACGCGATATACGCCATTAGTAGTAGGGGAGGTGGGGGAACCGGAGCAAAATGGAAAAAATCTGCGGCGAGCCTGGACACGCCGCTCTCGGTTTTGGAAAAATAGGGGAATCCCCCTCAAAAAAAAAAAAAAAATCCTGACGCCGGGAGAGAGAAAAAAAAAAAAAAAAAAAAAAATCCTGACGCCGAGAGAGAGAGAGAAAAAAAAAATATCTCTGACGCCGGGAGAAAAAAAAAAAAAAAATCTGACGCCCGGAGAGAGAAAAAAAAAGAATACAAAATATCTGACGCCGGGAGAGAAAAAAAAAAAAAAAAAAAAAAAAAATCTGACGCCGGGAGAGAGAGAGAAAAAAAAAATCGGACGTCGGGTTTGGGAGAAAAAAAAAAAAAAAAAAAAAAAAAAAAACTGACGCCCGGAGAGAGAGAAAAAACAAAAACAAAAAAAAAATCTGACGCCGGGAGAGAAAAAAAAAAAAAAAAAGACGCCGGGTTTGGGAGAGAGAGAAAAAAAAAAAAAAAAATCTGACTCCGGGAGAGAGAAAAAAAAATAAATAAATAAAAAAAATCTGACGTCGCTAAAATGAGATGATGTCACCACCACGTGACTTTGAAAAATGTGTGAGTCACCACCACGTGACCTTGAAACGTGTTGAGGCACGATAAAAATTTGGCGTAAACAACGCGACCTTGAAAAATGTGTGAGCCATCACCACGTGACCTTGGGAATTTTTACTACAGTCAAGCTCTCATGGTTTATGAAATAATTGATCACCCTCCAAAAAAAATGAGAAAAAAAATATTATATTTCTTATAATAAAATGGAGAGTAATATGTTCAGACCGACCGTCAAAGGATATTCTAAATGGAACAAAGCCACGCTGCGTGATTACGTGCAGCGGTATAATATACCGCACAATGAAAATGTTTCTCTTACTCGTAAAGTCTACATCGAGGGGATAAAAAATTATGAAAGTCAATTTAAAAACTTGAGGAAAAAGAAACTTTATGAGCTCAAACAGATTGTAGACGAACAAAATCTAGAATACGTACCGACGGGTTATAAAGGACGAGTTTTGAAAAAAGATTTACTCTCGGCGATTAAAACATACAGACAACCCGAATACTTTACAGAGTCAGCTTTTAGAGAAACGAGAAGGTTTAGAAATTACTACAGAAACTGGGAATTAAATCCCAGACTTTATAACCACGATTTAATCAAGTTTTTTGATTCGCACAAGGAACAAATAGTCAATAAAATCAAGTCTGAATTGAGAGAGCTCAGAGGTTTAAAAGTAGAGCTTGTATTAAAAATAAGGTATCGAAAAATCAAACCGGATGGTACAATCGAAACGATCGAAGCTATTCATTATAGCAAACCGAAAGCCGTTTTAAATCAAAGTCAAATAAAACAGGTTTTAAAAGAGGAGATCGAAGAGCTATTCAAAAAGGATGAAAGGTATACGAATCAAGGATCGGGTTGGGCAGTCGATACAATACTCGCGTTATACATCAACATCAACAGATATAATCCAGCGAGAGGTAGTTCTTACATAAACCTACCCGAACATCTTAAAATTAAACAGGCGATGATCAACGTACAAAACAAAGACGACGAGTGTTTGAGATGGTGTTTGAGAGCTGCTCTTGGGTTGTACACGGATAAAGTAAAAAATCAAATAAGAAATAATCCTAAATATAAAATCAACGAAAGCAGACCGTCGATTTACACCAAAGACGACGGACTCAGTTTTAAAGGCGTTGACTTTCCGACACCGGTCGATCAGATACCCAAGATAGAAAGACAAAATAATTTATCGATAAACGTATACGGTTATGAGGGTGAGATATATCCATTATACGTGTCTAAAAACTACGGGGCAAAAGAGATCGATCTGCTTTTGATTTCTAAAGGTGACAAGCATCACTATTGTTGGATAAAATATTTTACGAGGTTGATGTACGACGTTACAAAACATAAATGTAAGAAATATTTTTGTAGAAGATGTCTATGCCATTTTACCAATCAAAACAAATTGGACAGACATATCGCCGATTGTAAGGGTATAGATGCGCATCCATCAAAGATTGTATTTCCGACAGGTAAACCAATCTTTGACGGACAACCGGGCGAAAGAGACGTACCGATATTAGAATTTAAAAACTATAGACACAAACAAAAAGCACCATTTGTCATTTATGCTGACTTTGAATCCATATTACAAACAACAACAACACCCACACAGACACTAACATCTAAACCTACTCACTCAGACAAAGAGACAAACACAAAAAAGATTAACGTTCACAAAGCTAGCGGTTATTCGCTAGTTGTCGTCCGATGCGACGGTAAAAATGTGTATCAAGAGACTTATAGAGGCAAAGACGCTTCAACTAGATTTATAACGACGTTGTTACAATTACAAAGCGATATTAATTGCATATTTGAAAAACCCCAAACCATGAAATATAACGAGCGAGCTAAAGACCATCATGATAAAACAAACGCGTGTTGGATTTGTGAAAAACCAATTTATCCCAATTACTCGAGCAACTGTCAGTGCCAGAAACCCAGAGAACCCAAGACGATAAAACAAAAGAAAGAATATCAGTACAAAAATAGTAAGGGATTTATCGAGTCTAAATGTCTCGACTGCCAAAAGAGCATTAATAAATTTAGAAAGGTGAGAGATCACTGCCACGTCACTGGTAAATATAGAGGTGCCGCACACGCCTATTGTAACCTCAAACTACAAATTAAACCCGGTTGTACACCGATACCAGTCTTTTTTCACAATTTACAAAATTACGACGCGCATTTAATCATGCAGGGAATGACAGAATACGATAGTCAAACAGAAATACAAGTGATCGCTAAAAATTCAGAAAAGTATATTTCGTTCTCGATAGGAAATCTACGATTTTTAGACTCGTTTAGTTTTATGGCATCGTCGTTGGATAAATTAGTGAAAGCTTGCCCAAAAGAGTCGTTTCAGCTACTCAAAAAGCATTTTAAACATCCTGACTTGCTATTACAAAAAGGAATTTATCCCTACGAATATATGAACTCGTTTGATAAGTTTCAAGAGACCAGCCTACCACCCATCGGCAAGTTTTACAGCAGACTAAAAGACGAACATATATCGCAACAAGACTACGACAGAGCTCAACGCGTGTGGAACGAGTTTAATATACAAAATCTAGGAGAATATCACGACTTGTACGTGACGACCGATACGTTATTACTTGCAGGCGTATTTGAAAACTTTAGAAGAACGTGCATTACAAACTACGGGTTAGATCCAGCCAATTATTTTACCGCACCCGGATTGTCGTGGGATGCTCTATTAAAACACTCGGAAGTTAAACTCGAACTATTGCAAGACGTAGACAAACATTTATTTTTTGAAAAAGCAAAACGAGGAGGCATATCGAGCGTGGGTGGAATGAGACATCACAAAGCCAATAATCAATATCTCGATGACTACGATTCAAACAAACCCTCGAGTTATATCGCTTATCTGGATGCCAACAATCTGTACGGTTGGGCTATGAGTCAATATCTACCGTACAGCGATTTTAAATGGACACCCTCGAAACCGTTTACCGAAGAAAGAATATTAACGCTTAAGAAAACGTCCAACACCGGTTATTTTTTCGAAGTAGACCTCGATTACCCGCACGATCTACACGCAAAGCACAACGATTATCCCCTAGCGCCAGAAAACATCGTCATACCCCAAGCTTGGATGTCTGATTATCAAAATGACTTATTGGATACCGAACCTAGTAGCGACGTACAAAAATTAACGTGTACGCTTAATCCAAAACAAAAATACGTGTTGCACTACGTTACGTTGCAGTCATACCTCAATCTAGGTTTGAAATTAAAAAAGGTGCATCGCGTGTTAAAATTTAAACAAGCGCCTTGGATGAAATCTTACATCGATAAAAACACGCAACTCCGAACCAAAGCAACCTCTGATTTTGAGAAAGACTTTTTTAAACTGATGAATAACAGCGTGTTTGGTAAGACGATGGAAAACGTCAGAAACAGGATTGACGGTTACCTACTGAGAGACAATAACGAGAGCGATCAAGAAAAATACAAAAAAATAATTCAAAGACCGAGCTATAAAACAACAACGCCGTTTTCAGAATGTAACCTGTCGTTTGTCGAAACGTACAAGACTAAAACCTTGTTAAACAAACCCATTTACTGCGGAGTGAGCATCTTAGATCTCTCTAAGACGCTGATGTACGATTTTTATTACAACCGATTGAAAGACAAGTACGGAGATCAAATCAGGTTGATGTATACGGATACGGACAGTCTGTTGATTGTCGTTTACACGGATGACATATACAAAGACATGCAATCTCACGGGCGACACTACGACTTTTCGAATTACAATCTGGATCACGAGTTGTACGATCCAACCAATAAGAAAGTGATCGGTAAATTTAAAGACGAGTTTGGAGGTAAGGTCATTCAAGAAGCCGTTTGCGTAAGACCTAAGATGTACTCGATTTTAGCGGATGACAACAACATCACTCTTAAAAAAGCCAAGGGGGTCACAAAATCGGTCACTGACAAAAAATTAAAACACCGGCACTACTACGACTGCATCTTTAAAAATAAATCTAAAACAGAAACGATGACTCACATTCGATCGGAAAATCACATCCTTTACACAATATCTCAAAATAAACTATCGTTGAGTCCGTTGGATACCAAGAGGTACATTTTACCGGACGGTATAAACACGCTCGCTTATGGTCACCGCAATCTAGATATTAATTAGGCGGTAATTGCGTGTCCTCGGGTACGACTTGAAGCTCTTGTCTCACAAAACTCCTTTTTGGGCCGTTTTGAAGGTAATAAAGAGTAGGACCCGTCGTGACTTTTTTACCGTTAATCATTTTAAATTGACTCGTTCGTTTTTCCACGTT